GTGCGTGTGTGAGGGCGAGTGTGTGTGCGTGTGTGTGTGTGTGTGTGTGTGTGTGTGTGTGTGTGTGTGTGTGTGTGTGTGTGTGTGTGTGTGTGTGTGTGTGAAGACATTGCAAACATACAGCTGTGTTTGTGTCTCTCCTCCAGGCTCGGCCACGCTGCACCACTGGCAGCAGTTAGCGCAGCCTCACCTCGGGGTGATCCTGGACGCCCGGCCGGGGGTCGTGCCGAAAGGATACAGACCCCTGGAGCTGGAGCTTGAGCAGGTGTGTGTGTCTGTGTGTGTGTACTATATTTCTGAGTCATATACAGTATTCATGACTTAATATATTGCATGCATGCCTCTGTATTGATTTCCTCTCTGTGCCCTGCTGTGTATCTCCAGGTTTATCCGTGGGGGGGCTTTGAGGAGGAAGAGCCAGGAGAGCAGTACTTCCAGAATCTTCCCACCTCCTCCGCCTCTGCCTCGTCCGCCGTGCCCCCCACCTCCACCTCCATCACCGCGGCCACCAGCATCGGGCAGCCTCCCACCCCCATCCTCACTCCACCTTCACCCCCCTCCCCATCACCATCTCCACATCTCAGCAACTTAGATGCCTTGGGTGAGGACATACTGGATATTTATCACATGCAATATCATGGGGTTTAATATGGGTCTTTTAATTTTTTATTCAAAGGCTTTGTTGCTAATGCAAAGTACCCACAGTGTTGTTAATGGTGAGGAAAATCCTAAATCTCAGACTACCAGCAATTCAATATAAATATAAATATATATAAGACATAAAACATTAAAACAAACTTAAAAAACAATATCAATTGTGCAAGAAGAAACAGAGTAGAAATAAAACAGTAAAAGACCAATGTGCAAGTAATGTAGGAGAAAATGAACGATATACATGTAAAGATATATATATATATTTATAGAAGTTTGTACGACAGTGTTTTTCAACCTTTTTTGAGCCGCAGTACATTTTCTACATGAAAAAAAATCCCACGGCACTGCAAACACCAAATGAGTTACTAAATGACCCATCGTAGCATAATGCAGCATTTATATATTGATTATTTAATGACAAGTCTCAGTAGCTAGATTTTAAAGCTCTGTCTTTGTGTTTTTTCTCCTAACAGTAACCTGTTAACGCAGACGAACCAAATAGTCCGTGTTCTTGTTTTGAAGTGACGGGTGTTTCGTTTGGAGATGACGTTTAAGCTAGCTTGGCACTGTGACACTGTTGGGTTTCATTTGCAGCAACTAAATAATTGTATTTTTGAACCAATTAAGTTAATTTGGACAGTTTCCCACGGCACACAGTGGTTGAACATCACTTTTAGAAGAGACCAAGTAAATGCAGGAGTCTACATGTAAATAGAATAAGATGAACAAGAACAGAATGTAAAATGAAATACTGTACAGTGAATTTAAAATACTACTGTCTGTGTCTGTGTGCTTTACAGCTGCATACTACCCAGGTAAATGCATGGCCCACACCAGCTCCACCTACACCTTCACTACCTGTCGGATCCTCCACCCGACGGATGAGCTGACCCGGGTCACACCCAGGTAAGAAACAGAAGTAATGCTGCTTTAAAACGCACAATAAAAGCTAACCTTTTGTAGCACTTCTAGTTCTTAAAGTTTCTCTTAGATCTGCCAGTTTTCCTTCTTTACTGCGAAAGTAAGCTACACCGCTAAAAGCAACTATTTACAAACATAAGCATTATTGCAGAAGTCCTAATCCAATAATGTGTTTTTATAAGGGCTGTCAAGTATTTGCCTCTTAAGAATACAAACTCTCCTCTGTTTTGAGCTTTTAAAAAGCAACCAAAATGTGTTTTATATTACATTTCATATATAGTAATAAACAGATTAATTATATAATGCATCTTATGAATGTTCCTGCAGAGCGCTAAGTGTGCACTCAGTCTGAATTGGACTTTATCCAACAGGACAAATAAATATCTGAACCACAGTCACTTCGATAGGATCGTAAAAAAGTAACACTATTCACTTCCTCAGTAAGTAAGGTGCTAAATAATACATGCAGGTGCTTGTGGTTCGAAGAAGCAACATCCCAAACGTGGCGGTACAATGATGAGATATTATAACGGTGGAACTTCTATTGCTCAAATCAGCATGAAGTATCCTTTCTTAATGTTTCTAAAGCTCTTTGTTTGCTTTACTTCCAGTCTGAACCCTGTCCCCTCGTCATCCTCCTGTGTGATGACCAGCTCTCTGTTGGGGACCCCTGCTGTGACGCCCTGCACCCCCCGCAGGCTCAGCCTCATGCCGTCCGAATCCTCCACCAACCTCAGGCACGGTTTAAAAACAACAGAAAATAACTTCATTTTTTAGCTGTTTTCTTAAAATATATGTTTTCTTGTTGCTACTGTAAAAAACAAAACTGTATTTGCTTTGTTCATGATGGATTGTAAATTCAAGAAACTTAAAGTACATTTTAAAATCACTTTACTGCATATCAAAATTAGTTTGGTCTTAGTTTCCAAGACAAGACTTGTTTTTGTAAAAAAAACTGCACTAATGTATAAATAACTAATCAAAATGTATTTTCTCTGAACCGTTTGATTAGTTTACCCTGTATATGATGAAGTCTCTGAGTACCTTTTTAAAAGTACAAACTTTAGTAAATAACATTTGTTATTTCTATGCATTCCTAGGATCAACATACCTTTTTTTAATTTCACTTTTTTCTCAATAATTCAGCACCCAGTCAGTAATATTAACTCTCATTGTCTGTGCAGAGATGCGACACGCACCACCAGCACCTCCCTGGGGCTGGTGCGCCTCCTGCAGGAGCGAGGGATCTCAGCAGCCATGTATCACCAGAGCCAGGGCCTGGAATACGGCCAGGGCAACGGGGGGGTCCTATTCAGCACCTCCATCACCCCTAACAGAGCCCCCAACCCCGACCCCCTGCGCCCCTCCACGCTTCCAAACTCCCCCACGGGACCGGGAGCTTCAGCCGTGCCGACGTCCGCTGGCTTCAACTTGAAAAGCCCTTCCTACGACAACTTCCTCACCTCCAGACCGGCCCGCTCCATCCTGAAGGAGGTGACGGGGAGGATGAGGGGCCGGCAGAGAGGGAGGGACTGCGAGAGCCAGACGGACGTTAGCGTGAACGTACACAACCTCAACCTGCTGGACAAAGTGAAGAGGTTGGGTGTGGCCGGAGCTCCAGGGGGGAGAACCATGAGTCCCGGGCCCATCCTGGGGCCTCTGGGCGGGCTGCGGCGGTCCGGCTCCCCCTTTGGACCCGATGGGATGAGGAGGAATCCAGCCATGGTGGGGGCCGGCATGGCTATGAAAGGCCCAGGACCTCAGGAGTAGCCTGGACTGCTGCTGGGCTTTAGGGTGGCCGGAAACTGACTGAAAATGACTGACACTGATCATACTGTTCGGCAACAAAAACTCTTTTTAATCACTTCTGGTTCCACACTGACACTTTCCACTCTTAAAATGCTTTAAGGTGGTGGCCCATGCTTTAATTAAAAGCAAAAAACCAAAATTCCCCAAACAATATTATTGCAAAAAAAAAAAAAAGTTTTGGGTGACCATCCCAGAAACGATTCAGATATTTGTACATTTGGACACAGATATATAAAAATGTAGGCATATGAATTAATTTTATGAAACTAAATGTTATGTAATTGGGTGAAATGACCCTTCAAAATCTGATTTTTATTGAGATATCTCCAACTGCTTTCAGCTCACATCCCTGCTTTGGATACTGACTCTGCTGGCTAGATGTAGTACTCCCACTCTCACCTTTTTCTGAAACACATCCACAAAGTCCTACACATGAACACACACACACACACACACACACACACACACACACACACACACACACACACACACACACACACACACACACACACACACACACACACACACACACACACACTGAGGTGCAACACACACACACACACACACCACACACACACACACACACACACACCACACACACACCACCACTGAGGTGGCACCTGTTACAATGGTGCCATCACACTCGTTTGGCTGTGTTCATCTCTGTAGGCACTAAACCAGCCTTCTTGTTTCTCTACTTTTGTGAAGGATCTTTATACTTTACCCAATCTATATTATGTCACCCTTATTCTTTTTGTGGTGGGGACTGGTATAAGAACATTTACTCATTTATTTTTTATTGAATTTTGTGTCATGCCGATAATCTTATGACATCGTCACTTTACTTTTAAGTTTAAGAATTTCTACGTAAGGAACATATGAAGAACAAAATATGAACAAACATACTCGTATTACCTGAAACAATTAGGTGGGTTGACCAAAAAAACACTGCCTGATTCAGATACAGTCATTTTTATGCTTAAATACTTTAATTAGGTTCTGGCTTCGGGCGGAGAAGTTGAAGGGATTGCTACTTTTCCGTTTTAATTATTTAAATTTATTTTTGATTATGGAGATTCTTCTGCAATTAGCACTTTTACTCTCAACACTTTAAGTGCTTTTATTTAAAGAGGTCACTATTATGCTTTTTGGGGGATATTCCCTTTCCTGGTAGTGTGTTGTATAGGTTTGTGCATTGTAAATGGCTCCAAAGCTCTAATCCCTGCGTTCCCTCCAGAGGAACCCCACCCCCGCGCAGCTGGAAAACACCATCCATGGGACTCCTCAAATTTTAACTTCTGGGATGATAATGACAGATCATTATGTAACCCACTATGCACTTCTATTTGGCTAGCCGCTCCAACGACATTGTATGTGATAGTGTTAGGGGGCTTGGGAGCATCTCTAAAGCGGTTGACACAATCACAACAGAGCCAACCAGCGTAACCAATTCAGGAGCAGACTGGGCTTCTGGTTTCAGACAGAGGGGGAAAAGAGGGTGTGAGACATGAGAGAAAATAAAGACACTTTATTGAACATTTAAGCATAGGAAAACATGTCACAGTAGAGGCATCTAAAATACAGAATTAACCTGAAAAAATGAGCAGAAGGACCCCTTTGAAATTACTTAAGTACCATTTTTTAATGTGTAGTATTGTACCCTTACTGAGGTGAATGGATCTGGATACTTTTGCCACCACTGGCTCTATTCNGTGACATAACTCCATGAGTATGTAAGCTACCTTTACACAATTATTATTGCTGGATTCAGTAGAACCACACCTTTCCAACAAGCCATCATATGTGTTGCTATGGCAATCCATGTCAGAGTCACTACAAAGTAAAGAGAACATTCTACATAGATTTACATTTCCGCCTATTGTAGGTATGTGTTCAAATGACTATCTCCAATCTACATTAAGATATTGACATTCAGTCTTTTCTATAATGCAGAGGGATGTCCTGACCTCAGGTATGCCAAGTTTTAAACCTATCAGACCTTCCATTGTGAATCTACATGAGTTGTTATGCCTCAACCCCCAGACGGCCAGGCTTTATTTTTAGTTTGGGGTGTCTAACTTTATATATCAATTTCACCACTTTTGCAGTAAAATATTTTTATACAACAATCCATTTTATGTATGGGAGGCCTTATAGATGAGGAAAAAGTAAGTTGTGTTTTGTCCTAACTCCGGGAGGGGTATCTCGAAAACTAAAGCCCTTTTTGGCTGTTTGTCACAGGCCTATTTGTCTTCTGATTCCTGGTAAACCCACCAGCCTTCTGTACCTAACCTTGCGACCTGCCTTCTTGTCTCTTGTACCTGTCTGCAGGTGGCTATTTGATGTTTTACCAGATCCTCTGCCTGGCATTGACCAAACTGCTGCCTGTTCCCTACTGGTTTGTCTGCTTGGAATTTTTATATATTTGTGCACATTACCTGCCCTGGGGCCTCATGTATAACGCAGTGCGTAGGATTGACGTGGGAAGGTTGCTTACGTAGTAGAAATCCGAAAAATAGGTCCATAAATGTTCCGCCACTTTCCGATTCACCAAACATTGCGTACCGGCGAGGAAAGTGCGTATGGCACTTCCTACGCCTGTTTCCCTTTATAAATCACAACCGACNTCTGTTTTCTTCAAGATTGTATTTTGTTGGTCGAATGCAGAGATGGGGTCGTTACTAAAAAAAAGTAATATATTACACTACTTCGTTACTCTCTACATAAAGTAACTTGTTACTTTACTCGTTACACACAGTGAAAATGTGTTCTCTAATTTTAACCCATCCTAGTACCAGGAGTCTAGTACTAGGAGCAGTGTGCAGCTATTGTNAATCTGACACGATGTGAGATGTTTTTTTTAGCTGTCGTCATTTCCTGCGATCTTCTCCATGCAGTCAGTCAAAATGAATGAATGAAAGGGCGTTTCTTTCAAAGAAACGCCCTTTCATTCATTCATTTTGACTGACTGCATGGAGAAGATCGCAGGAAATGACGACAGCTAAAAAAAACATCTCACATCGTGTCAGATTTTGGTTATTTTGGGGAGGTCGAGATAAATCATATTGTTTGGTGGATGCAGTTTGAACCTTACCAGAGTAGCAGCATGGAGGTCGGATCATCACCAAAATAAATAAATAAGTGGTCCGAAAAAGGTTAATGACAAAAAAAATACACATAGCCTTCCTCAGGCAGTGTGTTTGTACCGGGGACGAGGAGAC